GCAAAGACACAGACTCATTTGAGAGATTCAACAGATGGTTCCTCATTTCCTGAGGAGTGAAATGAACATTTTCAAAGTTATTCGAACAAACAGACGAGTGAACGGACATGCAGATCAAATGACAGACGACAGACCGACAACGAATAAACAGACAGACAAACAAAGAGACAGACAAACAAAGAGACAGACAAACAAACAGACAGACAAACAGACAGACAGAGAAAGACAGAATGACTAAAAGAAATAAACAAGACAGCTAGACAACCAGGAAGACAGACCTGGACCATCCTGAAGAAGATAGGGAAGGTGTTGGCAGCAAACGTGTTGCACCGTTCCTCGAGGACCTTCTGGAGATGCTGCCTCCACAACATTTCCACCTCATCCAGGCTGAAGTTGACGTTGAACATGTTTGGGTGCGTGTTGATAGGACTCAGGTCATCCACAGCCACCCCTCCTCCCCCTCCTCCTACCATTCCTCCAACTGCTCCTCCCCCAATCTCCATGTCAGTCAGATTGCTGTGGATGCTTAAGCTGGGTGGGCGTTGGAGGTAGTTGGGTGATTGTTTTGGTGGTGGTGGTGGAAAATGATGATGACGTCATAGTTTGTAATTTCATTATGTTAATGTATAGGTGTTTGTTGCGTTTGCCCTGGATGTTGGTGATGGAACATTGTGTGAACGTCTGCCTTGAATGAAACGTAACAATGAATATTACGACGTTGAATGAATGAATGATTCGTGGCGTGCATCAATTGATGTATCTTACTATGATTTTTTTTAAAATCACAGTGTCCAACCATGGCCACAACTTCGAACGTAAAATTTAAAAAATTAAAAAAGAAATGAATAAAAAATTGAACGGAAGTATAACGACATCTCCTCTGAAGCAGTCGAACGAAACGAAGCGGGAAACGAACTTGGAACTGGATAAGGAGTTGGCATCGGTGAAGAGGGAGTTCCTGAGCAGGATGACTGGAGCCACTTGGAGGTCGTCCACCGGACTGACGCTTTGAGTCTGTGCAGTGGATACCATGTTGTACAATGCAATACAATACAATACAATGCAATACAATACAATACAATACAATACAATACAATACAATACAATACAATACAATACAATACAATACAATAAAAAAATGATACAATACTTATAGTTTAAGACGATAAAATACAAAACAATATAAAACAATGATATGATACAATACAACATAATACACAATGGCATCATGCATAAATAATTAACACATACGATACGATACAATACAATAAAACCCAATAGAATATAGCACAATATAGTAGGGTATATTAAAATAAAATGAGTCAATAAATATACCAAGACATAACAATCAACCCACAAGACAGCAAAGAGCAAGAAAGAAACTGACCTCGTCATCAGAACTCTCCTTATGTTCCTCCAACAGCCCAGTCTCTTCCTCCTCCTCAACCTTCAATGAATGCCTTTGATTCACGCCCCAGTACTCACAACCACTGTCAGGCTCCTCGAGGAAGTCGAAAACTGACTGGATGTGACGCTCCACTGAACCGTCATCTTCAATTGGAAGATCGCCTGTTATGGGCACGGTACGATGTTTTTGGTGACAGTGGTTGGTGAAAGGCTTTACAAATGATTTCAAGGTGGAGTATGAGATGCCACCGCATGAGGCAATCATTGCTAACAACTTTTCATCAGCGATCTTAGGTATCTAATAAATCTTACCGAACTTCAGACCAGCTCACAATCAGTTGCTATCTAAAAAAGTCAATAACTATAAAATGAAGAAAGTATTTATATAGAATCACACAGAAAGCAAAAACAATACTGACAGCCAAATTGTCTAAAAACTTACCTTAGCAAACTCAAAAAGAAGATATCCAAAATAACGAATATCATCACGAAGTATGAAACCAAGGAGGAGAAAGTCAATAAAAAACAAAAGAAAGCCGACGTACCAGGAAGTATGCCTTCAATGGTGGATGCCTCCTCACTGCTGGTGCCTGGCGTGTTGCTCGCCGGCCTCTCCAACGTTCCGCCGGGCGACTGCTGGTCGAACACAACCTGCAAAATTTCATCAAATAAATAATTTCTAAACTCTGGCCTGACTGAACGAGACGAACGTTTGAATATATTTGCAGCAAGCGATCAAACGACGTACAAGAAAGGAGATCAGCGTTCACTCGCAACTGCAAACACTAGCTAGCTTTACAAACATGAATTCACACGAAATGATCATATAAATTTTAAATTTATTGAGAAAAGTCAAAATGCCTTTCGATCATATGAAATGAATGGGGAATAAAAAAAATAAGTGATAGCAGGACACAAGACGAAAAGCTATGAACACAAACTGGATTTTAAAAAATTAGAAGAATAAAAACTAAGGAATGTCTATGATTAGAATGGAATTAATTTCAAAGCAACTGTATGAGAACCTAATCTATACGTGTTAAACAAACATCAAATTTGTCGCTTCCTTCTGTGGATCACTCTCTCTCATTATTCATGTACACAAACATAAATAAACAAATAATAATAATGATATAGATATATAAATATAAATATATATACAAATATATATAACATAAGTGTGTATAGTATGAGTACATGTATGTGTGTGTGTGTATGTGTGTGTGCGCCTGTTAGATTGAATTAATAAGTGGCGGATCTAGACAACTTTTACGGGGGGAGGGCCAAAAGTGGAAAATATTTAAATTTTCACAGAGGAGGCCAAAACTTTCACGAAGGGAAGCCCAAGATTTGTAGTAGTGTGGCTGACATCCTTTTATGCTTAGCACTTTCAATTTTTGGTCGATTTTACACACAAAATACGGTCCTATTTCTGACTTTTATTAAAAAAACTGCTCACAACAGTGCCCCTTAGCCACCCCCTCAAGATCCGACACTGCCCACCAAAGTGGATTAATAATATTAGAAGCTCAACACAAAATTAAAATTGGAAAGCACGAATTATCGAAGAAGGCGAGCGAAAATAGGCGTTAACCACACTAAACAAAGAAACAAACACACACTCATATACAAACACACACACACACACTGAACATAAAAAATAATTAAATAAGTAATAAATTAATAAACTATTTATTCATTTAATAACACTTATTTAATTTGAAATTAAAAAAATAAACAAAAAAAATAGGCAAACAAAACAAAAAAACAGACAAATTAATAAACAAATAAATAAAAAAGTGAATGAGTGAACGAGTAGATAGAGAAGTTAGTCGAACATTTAAATACCTTGTGTGATGATATGTCCTGAATGAGTGGAGTACGTGGAGAAAATGAAATGACGTATCATCATCGTTATCATCACAATTAACATAGTCAACGTCAACATAGTTATAAAAGTCAGTTTTAAAAATTATGCATAAACATACATTCGGTGAATCAATCGATAATTAATTAATTATTAAATTAATTAATGAAATCGACAAACAAAATATAAATTAATTAAGTAAATAATTAATAGTAAAATAGAATAATATCGCATCACAAAGTCGTCATCCCCCAGACAATCTTCATCAATGCTATATCAGGTAAATAAATGCTAATAAGATACTTCATTGTTTTGATTTGATAGGACCAACATTTCAAACACATCAACCAAATGTAATCATCTGCTTTTATTAAAAAAACTTTCAAGCCGAAGTTAAAATGATCTAGACACACGTGTAGAACATACATTTATCCATAAAGAATTCTTTCTATATTGTACATAAACCCATGCTTTATCCTAAATATTAAATACTGAAAGAGATAGAAAGAGAAAGAGAGAGAAGAGATTCCCAAAGTTTACACTTTGATAGATTAATCATCCTAACTGATAACCTAAGCTTGATAAATTATGAAGGAACCTATCCTCAAATCTCATTAAAAATTGACACATTTCTAACAATACTTTACAGTATTAAAATAATAATTTACGATAATAAAACATTAATTTACAATAAAAAAAAAACAACAAAAAATAACATCTTACGCCCTAATATTTCAAAAGATAGTCAGCCAACCAACCAAGAAATAAGAAATAAATATTTTTTAGCAGTTCTTAGCCAACCTATCGTAAACCTATCTACAGCTAGCAGACCATCATAAAAAATTTTAACATTCGTAAAAAACTTAAAAATCTTGAAATATTGCACCACAAACGATCGGAATGTTAAAAAAGGAACAGTAGCATAACAATCCGCAATATTCACGAAAGCAGTAGTAATAACGTCATCTATAAGTGATGATAAACCAATTAAGCATCAAGAAGATCGGCACCAAATAAAGGTAAAATTGCAAAACATAATTACGACAAACAAGACAAAAATATGAACGAAAACAACAAAAGATGCAATCATAGCGACAAATATAATCAGTGAGATAGAAAACAAAATCAAGCCATGCTGCATCACATAGGCAAACTCTAGTGAGAATTAAACAATATAACATGAACGACCAAAATAAGAAGACCGAAAGCTAGGTAGAAAAAAACAGTTAGAGTTAAAAACATCGTAACTTAGTAGCAGCAATGTCAGCGACGACAAACAAAAAGACAAATACACAACAACAACAACAGCAGCAGCAACAACAACAACAACAGACACAAAGTAACAAACACGTGTAATGCAGCATGCACCAACCGAGGGACTCTTAGGAATGACCCGTGGACCATAGCAATTCAGCAGGCTGACCAATCTTTCCCTCGTGCGAGTCTAAAAGATGATGATGAGGATGATGACAATGTAATGATGGTAATTTGGTTATGACGCAATAACGACGATGAAGATGACGGCGATGCAATGATAAAGTCGTAACAATGTTATTTATTATGAAAAATAATAATGATCCAATGATGTTGAATGATAATATGATTAGGATAACTTAATGATGATGCCAAATTACGAGATTAACAAGCCGCGTTATGTCTTTAAAATTTTGATACAAAAATACAAACACTATTTAATCATTACCCAGATTTTTTTTCCTTGAGTTAATCAAATGCGAAATAAGCAGATAGATAATAATCCGACCTGAGATGCCAGCGGTTTCTTCCAGCTGCTCAGAGCACCTCCCTCTCCACTTGAAGCCCCCGTACTCATCGACCCCGTCTCCATGACTGCCCCAACTCCCAATTTGGTCGAGCTGTTGTTTGTGTCATGACGTTGTTGTTGTTGAGTTGATGTGTTGAATGTTTGCTGTTGTTGTTGTTGGTGGTGGTGGTGTTGTTGTTGTTGATTGTTTTGCAGGTCCCAGTATTTGGCGCCAATAATTTGGATTTGTGAGGAATCGAACCTGAACTCCATTGTTCGCCCTGCGAACGTTCATGAGTTGGAAGATGAAAAATTCGTGCAATTGTCTGTTTTCAATGTAAATATTATCATCCATTCGTCACTACAGAATCAACAGACAACCACAAACAACCACCCCATCGCAGAATCACGAACCAACCAGGCAATTCCTTTTTGATTTCAGTCGTCGTAAACGCTCCCCCGTGCGACGGAAGTGGGACAAAACGAGGAAGATCCGTAATCAGCATGGAATTCCTGTTACTGACCATGTTGTTGTTGTTGCTGCTGCTGATGTTGATGTTGCTGATGTTGTTGTTGGATGGTACTGCGGTGAGAGATGATGAACGAGATACGCATTGTTTGATGATCTGCTGGGCTTCCTTGTAGTGGTGTGGGTTCTGTCGGAGGTGACCATGGGAAGAAGTCAGTTAAAAAAACATCATCACATAAGAAAATTAACTTTTGATCTGACGATTTGAAAGTACAGAAAATATATCATTATATAAACAAAAACAAATATCTTTACAATAAATAACACGGATAAAATAAAGAAGAGCCACACACTCTATTCACCTCAATAAATCTGGCAACGACTCTGAGCAGGTCAGCATTGATGGATGGTGATGGAGACACAGAGATATCAACGTATAAGACGATGCAGAGCAAGATTTGAAGAACTGGTCCCTGGGTGCAGTTCGGTCCTTTGTCCAGCACCTGCTCGTACAATGGTTTCATCGTAATGACATTATTGGAGGGTTGGTCTTTAGCGATCAGGATATATAATAATCGGAGACAAGAAATGTTTAAATGGAATAAAAAAAAAAATCAAAAATTCTGTCCAGGCGAGGAAAAGGACAAAATGAATGGACGCATGCAGACACGTGTACTTCAGCTGCCAGAACTCTGCCAGCTAATGCTATACAATAAATAAATGTTACTGTGTAACTAAACTTAGCACACTTTTGCAACATTTCCTGTTCTCACCATTGCAAACCAACGCGTCGACCCAACAAAATTTTTATCATTCCCATCGTCCAAGCAAAACTTTCATCGCATCACATTCCATGCAACGAAACAACGAAGGAACAGCCACAACCTCGACCAGAAACGCAATGACAGCATCACTGATGCTTGAGTAGACGTCGAAGAGGTACTTGATGACACACTTGGTCCACTGCGTGCAATCCTTCTTGAACGTCCGCTGACTGTAACTGATCATGACGCTGGCCAGGTGCTCCAGTCCTCCTGTGCTCTGCATCACGCGACACATCTGTCGCAGGCAGTCGCGAGCAATTGTTATGCACGTTTCTTACATGTAGTGTGTTTGCATCTTGTTGCGGCATACAAAACATGTTTTTTCAATGTACAATACTTTCTTCTCGAAAATGACTGACAATAAAAATTGACATCAATCAGTCAAATTCATATTTTTTACCATTAGTACGTTACAGTAAACATCTAGTGGAAAAATGTTCTTCTAAAAAACACGCAAATCTTTTAATCACATATTTTCATTTTAGAGCTCAATCAATTCACCGCCAAAAAGACAAAAAGAAGCCAAACAAGCGACTAGCCTCAGCAATTCTGAAAGCAGCATTACTGTTGTTCTTGGTGGGCTCCTCATAGTTGTCCACCAACATTGGCAGGAGGGCGACGATATTCATCGGCAGACCTTTCATAAATAATCAGAATTCAAGGGAAATTACGAACAAGTTGAAATGACAATATTATAAGATGATGACGTCATCTTCAGCATCATCCATCTCTTCCGTAACCTTTCACTAACCATCTTTTCCAGTTGGATCGATGATGTTGACAGTCAGATAGTCAGTGAGTTTGGATAGAAGGTTCCAGGTGGGCTCCAGAGTGAGGTTCGAAGTGAGACCCTTCAGAAGAAGTGAATGCACCCCTGGAAAATCGTGCCAGTAGATGGCGTGCAAGATCTTGTCGAGTTTCTCGTAGCATTCAGAACGATTGGGAGGCATGTAATTTATAACCTGGATGTTGGAGGTGGTTGGAGGTTGCTTTGTGTTGAGGAACATTTCAAAGTGTTATCACTCAAACTGATTGAATAAAGTCATGAAGATGCAGATTTGAAAAAAAAAACATATTATTTCATTAATTAAAAAACATACTTTAAAATGTTAGTCAAATAAACATAAAAACAAACATAAACCAATTTCTATCGATTTAAAATAAAAAATAAACAGATTCAACTTAGCTAGCAAATCAGAAGTTAATAAATCAACAAATATGCTAACTATCCAGCCAGTCAACCAACCAGCCAACCAGCCAGCCAGCCAAACAACCAGTCGAACAAACCTTCAACCAACCAACCTTATCCAGTAATCTGACAGCCATAAGGAACTCATATTCGAAATCAGACTCCATGAGTGAAACTGTGATCCAGAACATCTGCGCTAGGACATTCAAGCGGTCTTCATGCAGTAGAGCATCAGGTGTGGCATGCTTAAGTGATAAGGTGCTCTTCGATCGCAGCAGGTTGATGTTGTTTGCAGACGTCGATGGAGAAGTTGACGATGGTGACGACATGGAACTCGGTGGTGAGGTTGCTGCTGCTGCTGCATCATTGGCAACATCCGTTTCCAGCAGCAGTTGTTTTTGTTGTGCTTGTGTCGATTTTGATTGTTGGGGAATGGAAACAAGTTCTGAGCAAGCGAAATTGCATCATAATAATTATATAAAAACTATCCTTCACTTCCAACGCCAATAACTACTTTGAAAAAAAAATTTTTTAATTTTTTTATCACACAAACAAAGATGATGTAGAAAACAAAAGATTAGTAGAATAAACAAACAATCGCAAATAGAACCAAATGCATATTAGCCACATACATTCCCATCACAATAGAGCAACGTACAACACCGCTGCACACCTTTGTGCTCCATGATGGGAGGTGATGATACGATGTTCTTCCTGGCTACTAACGATGACGGGTTATTGATGTTGTTGCGATACAACAAACTTGCCAGCGGTTGCTGTGGTTGTGATTGTTGTTGTTGCTGTTGGTGCGATTGTTGTTGCTGTTGTTGTGATTGTTGTTGTTGCTGCTGCTGCTGTCGAAGCGAACTCAAGTTTTTGAGGTTCAGGTTCAACTTGGAGGATGTGATCTTGTCCAGATTGGGTGTTGATAAACAAACGTCCTTGAGAGTCTGGCAGAGGTCGTCATCGAGGTGGTCCACCGCCGACTCCAAGGTCAACATTATTTCCGTCACGTAACCCTTCAATGTATGTTAAAAGATGTTATTAGTGGCAAACGAATGCATGTATTTTCCTCTAAGAATTCAAATTCATTAGAGCGAAACATTAAAATAATACCAACTATTTTATATAATCTAATCCAACTTATTTAATGAAAGTTTAGTGATAACATAGAGTAAGCACCTCATTCTCAAATGAGAGTTTAAATATGCGTTTAGAGACTCATGAATTAAATGTAGAGATATGATTCCACATAGTAAACAATCAAAACCGCCATCTATCTAGAACAAACAGTACAAGTGAACGGTGGGCAGCAGTAGTAGCAGCAAACAAACAACCTGCATGTCTTCCCCTTGCTCGGCTACTGTCTCAACCAGACGGGAGAGAACGTCGCAAAGATCGTTAGCCGTCAGAGGAATATGAAGAGATCGGAAGATCTTGAAAGGTTTATTGCATTTATAAAAATTATTCTAGTTGGTGACTTGTGCAAAAATGAGAAATATCGACACCAACTTCATCAATTCATCTACTCATCCATCCGTCTATCTTTCTATACAGCAACTCCTTCATTCATCTATTCATCCATCTATCCATCCATCAATCCATCCAACTATCAATTCATCTATCCATCTATCTATTTATCAATCCATCTATCAATCCAACCGTCCACCTATTAATCCATCCATCCATCCATCCATCCATCCATCCATCAATTCATCTATCAATTCATCTATCCATCCATGCTCCTACCTGGAAAGACCTGCCAGCATAATGTCTAGAAGAGCAGGAGAGAGCCATGTGAATTGCTTCTTGCGCCCACCTCTGCTCGATGTGAGCCTGGATCTGCACGTGCTTCAGTATCAGCACGACGTACTGCAGGAGATGTTCAATGTGCTCCACACTCTTTATGTGCTGCATCTTCGACGTTATGTCCTCGTAACTCCACAGTGGACGGCATCTCCTGGACATATTCGTTGAAAATGTTTAAAAAAAAAAATCCGTGAATTCTCAAAAATTTAACAAATACAAATTATTAAGAATAATTTATTATTTTAATAAATTTAAATTATTAAATTTTTAAAAAGATTCAGCTTGTACTGCGGTTAACAATATTCTCGTGGGATTTTGTTCTAAGAATTGACCAACATGCCCTTAGCATAACCTAGTTCAACATAACTTTATTTATCCCTAGCTAACAGTGTTTCATGTTACAGCTGAATTCTTCTCTTCCTAAATGTTATTTTGTAGTGAACTCACCAGTGTCTGATGATATCTGCCGTAAGAAAAACACACAAAAGCATACGTGCATCGAGAAATATGTTGAGTGAAATCTACAAAATCAAGATTCTTTAGCAACTCTCAAATGCACATGAGCTAAACAATTTCTTACGGCATCTGAATTGAGGCAGCCATCAACAAACGGACTATTTAATCAGTCAACAAACCAGCCAGCCAGCCAGCCAGCCGACCGATCGATCGATCAATCAACCAATCAATCAATCATCCAATCAATCAACCAACAACCAACCAACCAATTAATTAATCAATCGATCAATCGATCAATCAATCAATCAATCAGCCAACCAACCTCGTAAGAAGAAATTCGATAATTAGTTTTGTGGCTTGATCGACTGTCTCAATGACAGTGATTGGCGGGAGAGTATCAAAGTTATCTACAACCAAGTTGTCAACAACTTTCTTTGAGGTTGTTGTTAATTGCTGCTGTTGTTGCTGCTGCTGTGGTTGAACGCTGTCTCCAAATTCATCTGACAAAATGCAGTTGAATAGAATATACATTATCCAACATATTAACAACATCATCATAAATAAGAAAGACTAGACTATCACAACGACATGTAAATCAAAGATGAAATAGAAGAGCTAATGCTGAATGTTCAAAAACTACAAAACTCAATGTAAACACAGAGTGAGCCAAAAAAATAGTATCAAACATTAAAGGACATAGCATCCATATGTCAAATGACGAACCAGGAAGGACATCCCGGTAGCCAGCAACTGAAGACATGAGGGAGGAGGAAGATGACAACAACAACGATGACGACGACGTTCGTTGTTTGTCGGCGAACAAGTAGGTAGGTTCGTTGATCGACTGGTTGTTGATGATCAGTCGCGCCATATAGAACGGATTGACCTGTGTGGTTGCCAGGAGCAACTTTAGCAGCAACTGCTTGCTGTTCTCGTGAATCAGTGGTCGAGTGTTGTCCAGACCTTTGTTCAATGGTGTTTGTAGGTCGGATTCAATGGAGTAAATAATATGTCCAAGTATGAAAGTAAGATGTATAGTATGGTTTAAATAGTTTAGTGGCTAGAAGATTCACTTGAAATAATCATCCTAAACAGTCAACTAAAAAACAAATAATGAAATTATTCTAGACTCAAGAAATGAGCCAAAAAATCATAAAAATAATAACTAAGCCAACCAGTTGACCGATCGACAAACCAGCCAACCAACTGACCAATCAACTAATTGATGATTCAACCGACCGATTGATCGAACAACCAACCAACCAAGAAATATGATGTGGAGGATTAGTGGAGTGTGCATGGACCAGTCAACAGGAACCATGCCGTCCATCAGCAAATCAGTCAACAACATCATCGCCAAGTTGCATCTGTTGTTGTTGTCGTATTGTTGTTGTTGTTGCTATGTGTTGTTGTACATCGCGATAGGAGGTTGATTGCAAAGAAAATATGATAATGATGACGATGATGTGGCCGATGATAGCAAGAATAAAAAAAATGAAAAGACTAGAACAATGTGATAAGTTAGCGGCAGATCATTCTATATTAACTATTCATTAATACATCCTGAAATTGAAAACTAAGTAAAATTTATCGTCAATATCCAAAACCATTTCAAACCTTTGATACGGTGGATTTGGCAGCGGGGTGGACGAGGGTAGCATGTTAGAAAGGGGGGCATAGAACCCCCCGTAAGCAGGCATCGGTAGGGGGTGAGGCTGGTGCGGATTCAAGGACCTCATCAGATCGCCTGGATCCTGGAAAATTCCTTGCAGTTCTGGTGTTGGGAAGTGGAGGAATATAATTTGGTTATTTGCTGTGTTGATGGTGAATGAATGAATAAAATGAATAAATGAATGAATGAATGAATAAATGAATGAATGAATGAATAAATGAATGAATGAATGAATGAATGAATGAATGAATGAATGAATGAATGAATGAATGAATGAATGAATGAATGAATGGAATGAAATGAATGAATGAATAAATGAATAAATAAATGAATGAATGAATTAATGAATGTGAATGAATGAATGAAATGAATGAATGAATGAATGAATAAATGAATGAATGAATGAATAAATGAATGAATAAATGAATGAAGATGTGAGAGGTTATTTGATTTCTCAATTCAGTGTTTAATTTATATAATTAAATTAAATTAATTGTGAATCATTTAATTTTAGTATTTTAAAATGTACATTTACTTCCTAAGAATGGTTTAACGTTGAAATATAAAAACATTAATCATTAGCGGCAAACTTTCAAACAGGAAACTGCCAAAGATGAATAAAACAATCCTTAAAACGTCACTACGTAAAAATAAACATCAACAATAATAAAATCATTAAAAAATACAAAAAAAAATTGTAGTCCATTACACAATTATTATGCCCTCGTCAATTATAAAGTGCCAGCAACACAGGAAGCAGTAGCAGCAACAACAAAACCGACATAACATTTGTACCAACAACAGCTGCGACAGTAACGACAACAGCTTCAGCAACTACAACAGCAACAACATCAGCAGCAGTAATAACATTAACGGCAGTAATAGCAGCAATATCAACAGCAGCTGCAAACACACAACAAATGCTACCTTCTTGAAAGTTCTTGGAGTTGTTGAAGTTGTTAGGACTGGTTGATGGCCGAATGTTGGGAACTGTTGCTGGGCCAGGCCTGTTTCAATTATGCCAATGAATGCGGCGAAGATGAGGATGATGAGGAGGATGATGATGATGAAGAAGAAGATGATGATGAAGAGGACGAAGAAGATGATGATGATGAAGAGGAAGAAGATGATGAAGACGACGACGATTACGAGGATGAAGAAGATAATGACGACGAAGATGAAAACGAATGCGAAGACGATGATGAAGACGACGATGAAGACGATGATGATTAAAAACTAAAAAATTATAACAGCGTATACAGGTATGTAAATCGTTGCATCTGAACACCATGCACGCATGCACAACAAACAACTTTATATTCACCAATACATACCATCACACACATACAAATTCTAGCCACATGAAGTTACAAAACAACACACACACACTCACACACACATACACACACACACACGAACAAACACACATGTCACATTCAGGTAAGCACAATGCACCAACAGGTCAGCACTGATGAGCTTGGATGGGTCTTCAGCGCTGTGTCTCTTTGTGTGTATGAGTCCAAGATGTTGTTGATGATGTTGCTGAGGCTGTTGTTGATGCTGTTGTTGATGATGTTGCAAGTTCCTCTCAACATTGTTGGTGCCATCGTCGTCAACACTCGCTGATGTTGCGATCTGTCGCTTGGTCAGCCTGAAGAACGGAGCTGTTTCTATTCGCTCTACATTGAAGTTCAGTGGCTCTATGGTCTGTCGTTTGGTTGGATGGTCAGGCGGGCGGTTGACTGATTAGTTGGTCAAGTGGTTGACAGATTGAATTGCTGATTGAATTGTTGATTGATTGATCGGTTGGCAAATAGAACTGTCTATCAATTGATTGATATGTGTAATGAAAACGAATACTCATTCTTTCAAACCCCACAGCTCGATAGTAATCCTATTTCACTTTATGTAGATATGCAATCAATACGAAATAAAACATCAATCTTGTTTATGTGTGGTGTTGCAAAATTGAAAAATTTGAAGCGTAAAATATGAGAAGATTTTGAAAAAGACAACTGTCAAATATCAAACAAACTATAACTAAGAACAATCCAACTATCAATTAAATCTCGATACATGTCTTCCAATACATTGATAACAATTTAATTTAATTTAATTATGTTATAAATAAAATAAATAGATTAATTAATTAATTAATAGAAAACATAAGATAATAAATAAAAAAGGGCTCAAATTAAATTCCACTATCAGCAACAAAATAAATCTAAATTTCACAATATTGATTAAAAAAATAAATAAATAAAATGATATAAATAGACAAATAAATAAACAGAAAATAATGGGCGACAGTGAATTGCGAAATGAAACATGACGAGACGGATTGTAACTAAAATTATTTTTTTTATTATTCTTTAAAAATCAGGATCTGACAGACGCAGAAACTGTTACAGCATGCAAGGTAGTGGTACGAAATTAAACAAATAAAAAATATTAAAAAAATAAATAAACGGAGAAATAAAAATGTTTCAACATGAAAGATAAAATAAAATAGAATAAAATAAATAAATGATATATTTACCCTCAGTTCGTTCATGAGCTCGTCGATCAGATGGTCCTTGCGAGTTCTAGCCAGATACGTTATAATCTTTTTCGCCTGTTGATTCAATTGAAAATTCAATAAATTCAATGCATCTAACATGTATCTCTAGAGTCTAGACAGATATAAAGTCTAAGCAGATATAAAGTCTAGGCAGATATAAAGTCTAGACAGATATAAAGTCTAGACAGATACAAAGTCTAGACAGATACAAAGTCTAGACAGATTGATCAAAAAATACCAAATAATTAATTGGTATTGTAACGAAAAATTTACAAATGTAACAAACAACAGCTAACAACTTTTATTGGGCAGTTCAAATAAAAATATAATTATAAAACGGTAATTAATATAACACGTAGTATCCATTTTAACGTAATTTTTTAAAAGATATCTGCGACTGATACACAAGTATCATAGTTAAAAGTGTATCACAATTTAAAGTATCTTGGGAATGAAAAAAATGAAGGAATGAATGAATGAAGGAATGAATATCCAACTAACACTTGAGACAATGATTTGTGGGTACATGCCGACGATGATGATTAGGTACCTTATGATGGTTGGAAGGTTGCCTGTTTAAATTGCCATTAGATGATGAATGGATGGTGTGTGGATAGTGAATGGATGGATAACGAATGAATGAATAGATGAATGGATGAATGAATGAATGAATGAACGAACGAACGAATGAATGAACGAATAATCAAACAAAAGAATGAACGAATAAGACAACTAACCCGGCCAACATGCGACCAATGCAGACCACAAGTTCTCAATCTCTTTTGAATGAACTGTTCCTAACTGATCACATGTTTGTTTTTTTTTTTAAATAAATTTGGTTACTATCTTAAGATCATTACAATAAAAGAAACAGCGTCCATTTGAACCAACGAGATTACAATGCTTATCATTTTTTGGTAACAATGATGAACAAATTTTGATAAAATAACTCAAATTAAAATTGATGAGTAGAATTAAGAAGAAAATTGTGGATTCTTCCAACAACCGCATGACAACATCAACAACAACAAGCAATAACCAACAACAAATAACACACAACAACTAAAAAAAACTAACACACACAAAAACAAAACACAGAACACAGTAATCTACAATCAACAACAACACAAAAATGCGACAACATGTAACAACAATTCAAAATGGACAGAACACACACACACACACACACACACACACACACACACACACACACATGTAGTTAGCCAGCTACCTTGATGGTGATGTACATGAGATTGTTGAGAACCATATTGGTGGCCTCAGCCGACCCCCACCCCACCCCAGAGAGCGGTGGTTTCGTTGTGTACGTTGTTGCAGTTGACGATGGATTCGTCAGGAAGTTTGTCTTGTATGAATTCAATGAGTCCAGAGTGTTGTGGTTGCTGTTGTTGTTGTTGTGGTAGTTGTTGTTGTTGACGGCGGCACTGATGTCGACCAGTTCAACGTTGTGCAACCACGGGATGATGTAGTTCAGCATGTTCTGGCAGATGGAGGGAGGGGCCGATGTCAGTCTGTGAGTCACTTCTGTTTTGTGGGAACGTGTTTTTTTTACGTGATACGTCAATCTGATTGCATGACAACTCCAGATCGTTGGAGTCGGATGAACTATCTCCGACTCAGACACTCTGATACATCACTCAAACAGACGAAACCAACTCTAATACAAAACTAAATGGATAACAAAAGAGCCAAAAACACGATGCCAACGGCGAAGAATTGACAAACCAGAGAACATGGGCATGGTGAGATCCGGATGGAGCAGTGCCAACCTCATTGAGATCTGAAGCTGAGACCAACTACTCAATCCGTTAAACAACTCTTCCCTCAGAGCATTCCTCCTTTCCTCCTCATCATTCGTCATGTCTGTCGTGGTGGCCGCCGCTGTCGACGAGACCGCTGCGATAGCTGCAGTGGTGTGCAAGATGACGACATCATCCATAAAGAAGCGCTTGTAGAGGAGTCGAAGTAGCTGAATGGCCGTGTTGTGGATGTTTGGCCTGGAAGATCCGCAGCACATGAGGGTCACGTTCAGCATGGACATCTGCTCGCAAGGGTACTCTCTGTACGTGCGTGTGTGTTTGTGTGTGTATGCGCGTATGTGTGTGTGTGTGCGTATGTGTGTGTGTATTAGTGTTTCGATTTCAAACTAATATAAAAAAGTTATTTATGAGAAATAAGGGAATAATAAACATAAATGATACTCTCTGCATTCTTCCAGAATAACATTCAACGGTTATTGACCACCAGAACTTTTCTACACTGACTGACCTGGCATTGAAGACAAGAGCCAACGCATTGAAGCAGCCATCGGCCACCTCGCTGGAACCCGTGTAGCACCTATCCAGCACCCACTCCAGTAATGTCTGCGCCTCCGAGTTGAACTCAAGCAGCAACACAATCGTCTCTTGCACCAGTTTGTAGATCTGGAACAGAGAATGATGTTTAAAGAACTTAATCAGAATGTTTATAGTCGTTATTTCGAATTTCTATTAAGCGTTGCCATCATGACGTCCAACAGTTCAATTAAGCAGAGATGACCGAAGCAAGCTACCTTCTCATCGTGGACGGACAGGAGTTTACTGAGCCAGACGTAGATGTCGCCGCCCTCGTTGAGGTTGGAGGGATCGTAGACAGGACCGCAGCAGAGTGTCGATGCACAGGCCTGCAGTGCCGCCATCTCCAGCTCGCTGTACTGATCGTTACGACGCACGTGGTGTCTGTAGCTACAGGGAGCAATGTCGAATAGGTGGAGCACTTCTTATTAAAACATACGCAAGCCAAATATACTGAAGTTTCAGTAATATTGTGCATGTTATCTCAACTATGTATCTATCTTATAAACAAATCAAGCATGATTCCGTCTTATTCCATTACATTAGATTACGAAACACGACAATCTATAAAGTTTTGAAATGCATTCAAACATCAAAATTTAGTCTTTTTATATTCAAATAATTACCCAATTTATCAGCATTCGTGTAGTTGGGTTATAATACATAACTATAGCACGTTGCATAACAAATATTACATCACAAAACATTGCTCCAAATAACATCTCGTCATTGTATCTCAACGTTACTTACATTTTTCGTTACATCACATCACATGACATGACATGACATGACATGACATGACATGACAGCACAAACCTCTTATCAGCGCCAACAAGCGGCAGACCGAACTTACCACACCAGGTAGCAAACAACGTGCAGAGGCCTGCCCTCAGGTCCTGCGACAACAACTTGTGACGCTTCGAAACTGTCGGCGTGTCAAATTTGCAAGTGCACGTTTATGTCATTTGTGATCCATGTGAGTAATCAAATGTATGTATGTAGGTAATCAAATTTGTGTAAACAATCAAGTGTAGTGAAATGTGTATATGGGGCATTCAAATGTCTGTGAGCATTAAAGCGTGTTCAAATGCATGAAAATAATTGAAAATTATCAAACTTAAATGAAGATGTCACTGAGTCCAAAAATTGTTGAAAATTTTCCAACAAAAAGATAAAATATAAACTTTAAACTGGCATGCAGACACATACATACAAGCAAACAACAACACATACAACAATAAATGTATACAAAAAAGAGAGCTCGCAAACTTCTGATGTTTTTCAGAAGAAGCGTTCCAGAAATTTTGCAAAACAATATATTTCAGTACAGCCCAATACAATACAATACAATACAATACAATACAATACAATACAATACAATACAATACAATACAATACAATACAATAAAATCAATACAATGCAACGCAGATTGTGCAATACAATACAGTGTAATATAATACAACAGACCACAAAACAACACAATACAGCACAATATAACACAACAAAACACACAAACACAAGTACAGACATAAACATACAGATAAACACACACAAACAACAAACAGACCTGGTGTATTCTTAATGAGATTATGGATAAATTTACTGAAGTACAATCTAATCTCATTCAAAGTTGAACCTGCAGTGCAACAAATGATTGAGAAGATTAATGATGAAATAATGATTAATAAATGATTAATTAGTTAATTAAACACAGTTTAAGTTAATTAATTAATTATTTAATTATTTAATTAATAAACAATCAAGTCATTTACATAATAGTCACCATCCCCAAAATCGTAAACATCAACATAACCATCAATCATCATCTCCATCATATCGTCACCATCATCTTCATCGCCATCATCATCCCACCACACGACCTACCCTCCTTATCGGCTTCATGTTCCAGTAAGAACCTCGTGCCATCAATGTACTCCACAAATGTGCTGCACAGGGAATCTGTTACTTGGGAGACCACTTCGTGGGAACTGTGTGTGTGTGTGCGTGCGTGTGCGTACGTGTGTGTATGCGTGTAATACTCTCTCTCCCCCTCTCTCTCTCTTTCTCTTTCTCCCTCTCTCTCTTTCTCTTTCTCTCTCTCTCTCTGTGTGCGCGCTTTTGTCGTGTGTTTGCAAAAAAATTGTTGCTAAATGTTGCGTGGCTGTCTATAACTTTCGTGTAATTTTGAAAATAAATGGTAGATTGATGGACAGAAATGTTGAGTAGATGTTCGGAAATGTTGAGCAGATGTTCAAATATGTTGAATAGATGTTGATAATTGTGGAATTATTATTGTTTGATGGAAATTTGGTATTCTTGAATATGTGAAAATTGAAATCAACAAACTTTTCAAGTGGTAATCAGTAACCAACCAACCAATCTATCATCCAACCGACCAACCAATCCATTCATCCACCAAACAAACAAACAAACGAACGAACAAACAAACGAACGAACAAACAAACGAACGAACGAACAAACGAACAGCCAACTAACCAGAGAGTGAATATATGATTTTCAGCCATGTAGTGGAAGATGCGGACCAAGGACAACCTTAGCACATCCCTCTTCTTCTTCCCCTTCAACTTCTCAGTCCTTCTGTCGATCGCATCCTTTATCAGTTGAAGCAACTCGTCGAGAAGATCTCTGTGAAGATGTAATTATGACGTCACTGTTGATGAACTACACAAATATGACGTCACTGTTAGCCAACTACATGTTAAATAGATTACAATAACGCAAAGGTGCAATGACTGCATGTGCCTGGTTGTGCTAACTGGATTCTTACAAGTTCTAATACCTTTCAGCCTGTCGTACGCAAATGTTTATAATGCGTTGATTTCATTAGTTGTTGATTGATTGATTGATTGATTAATTGATTTATTCGTAAATTCGTTGATCTGTGTGTGTGGGTGTATGTGTGAACGAGTGTGTGTGGTGTGTGTGCGCGTACGCGTGTGTGTGTTGGTGTGTGTTTGTGTGAGTGAGTGTGGGTCTGTTGTTGATACCCCCTGAGTTTGTCGTTGTTGATAAAAGGTAGAAATAACTTTAAATATTTCGGCAACATCAGCCAGTGCATCGACATACTAGGCAATATCAAACTATAAAAACTATCAATTAAAGATGAACAAACAGCTATTGAAACCTGAAAGCCAGGTAGTTGATGTGCCCTAGGGCAAAGACAGTGGTCTCCCTCATCTCAGCGATGTCGCACTTCAGGTAGGTCATGAGGTTCCTGAACATCTCGCGAGCAGACAGGCCAGGGCTGACCGGTCGGATTGTAGTCGGATCGAACCTTTCTTGCTGCTGTTGTTGTTGCTGCTGTTGCTGTTGTTGCTGCTGCTGTTGCATGCTGCTGCTGTCTGGAGTCAGTGGGCTGTGGTGAGTTGCGGAAAATTGGCGCGGTATAATGGATCGTTTCTAATAACAGCATAACCAACTTTTTAAACGTTCATTTAGTCAAATTATTTTTAATAATTGGTATTAATGATCAACCAATCATTTATTAATCATGAAATTATTCTATCAAATTAATGATAGGACAATCGTCAACTGAATAACAACCAACCGACCGATCAACCAACCAACCAATCAACCAACCGATCAACCAACCAACCAATTCCCTAACCAACCAACCTACCAACCAATCAACAAACCAATCAACCAACCAATCAACGAACCCACCAACCAATCACCTACCAACCAATCAAACAACCAATCACCTACCAACCAACCTATCAACCAACCAATTAATCAACCAACCAAATAATCAACTGATCCAACTAACCCTGGATCGGGAGAAATGCATCTATGTAACTCGACACAGTGGCTCCTCATGGCGATGCAGCATCCCATGATGACGTAATTCTTCCAGAGGCTAATGTGCATCTCTCGTTCGTTCGGTGCCTTGCGACTTCGGAGGAGAGATGACGATCTGTCACTCAGGATCGTGCTGGGACGCGTGAGTTCGTGACGTGGAACGGCGTGAAATAATGACGTGGACTTAATGAGAAAATTTGTAAAACTGTTAAATGAACATGATACAGTAATAAATGATGGACACCAGTGTAGCCAACTTACAGAGGATCGACCTGCGGTAGGAGGGTGTTGAATCGATTGTAGAGGAAGACCCAGGCAAGTTGCACGGCCGTTGGACAACATCCGGTCACATAATCCCTGTGCATGAAAATGGCGATTGATTGGAGCCAGGGGTCCAAGGAGGCGGCATCTAAAGTGTTGAAATTCATGTTGTGGCTGCTCTCGTTTGTTGTTGTTGTTGGGTTTGTTGCTGTTGTTGTTGTCGTTGTTGCAGAGTTGTTGGACGTTGTTGCAGATTCAAGCAGGTTATTGTACATGTTCCCAGATGTCCAAATGATTGAAGTTCGTTCTGTCAGCCACTGGAAGTCCACTGGGTAGCAGGAAAGAGCCGTGTTCTGAAAGTCAATGAAAAAAATTGACATTAATCGATGCAACTCGTCACACAAGAATAAATAACTCACGGCAACAACATTTTCAACAACATCGTCCTGATTAAAAACAGCCTACAAATTCAGAGAGAACAAACACAAACACACTGAAACAATCTACACCCACCCACGGAACCAACCTTCTCTTGGACTGGCAAGTGAGTGAGCACCTTCTCAATGATGATTGGACACGATCGGTCCATAACATCCAACACGCAACTTTCAGAATCCTGCGTGTGTGTGTGCGCGCGTGTGTGTGCGTGGAATGTTGCAAATTGCGTACCACACATAGTGCTTGCTATTTTTTAACTATCTATGTTCATGTGTTGTTGGTACCCACTCTTTTGAATAAATATCAAGAAAATTTTAAAGAAAAAAGTATTTAATGCTGAAATCCTCTAAACTGCTTACTAATCACTCACAAAATAGAAAGTAAAAATCGATTCTGCATCATATCTTTTGGTAAAATTTCACATAGACAAAAGCAAAACACCTCAACAAAAACTTCTTTTCAGACTATTTGATAAAAACAGAAATATCGTACAGTGGCCTCTAAAATTCAACAATTAGATTCTTCTAACATTTTTTTAATAAAAGATCTCCTTAACTTCTGATAATTAGACTGCTTCATGGATGATATAGAACGAACCTTAGGCAGAGCCAAGCAAGCAAACAGGTTCCTCGCCTCCTTCAGCGTTATGACAGCCAGCTTGCGAATGATTGGCTTGCAGCTACACAGCAGCATCAATGCTAAACTTTCAACGAGGTGCAACGTGCACCTACTCTTTTCAAGTTCACTTGCAGCAGCGAAACGAGTCGTCAGCAAATGTTGTGGCTGTTGTGGTTGCTGCTGTTGCTGCTGCTGAGATTCAGCAAAAACGTTTGGCTCCATTCTGCTCATCCTTTTGTCTTGTTGCTGCTGCAGCTGATGATGCTGGTTTGCCCTTTCTGATTTCTCCTGTGATGGAAATTATATGCTGTTCGTAACGTTACTTCAGTTGTAACATCTCCATGTTAAGCAGTAAAAAATTATCAAGAGATGTGAAATAATGGATTTTGTTAAAATTTATCCCTCTACGAAAATCAGCATATCATCATTTTCTCGTAATCAAATGATGCAACTTATAAGACACCAGCACATTGAAAGCAGTCTCACATTTCTCTCTACACCACACCATCCTCACATTCCTGTAAAATACATGCACTTGTGTCTACAGACGCACGCACACACACACACACACACACACGCACACACACACATACATTCCAAACGAAAAAACACACATGGACACACGCACACACAGACAGTTCATGACATCTCTGTTAATGTTAACCTTGACAATAGCAGCAGTTTGAGCGGATGACTTCCACTGAGTAAGCAGTGAGATGAGTCGTCTGACAGATTGTTCGATCAGCTGTGGAAAGGAATCAGTGACCTCGCGTTGAATGAAGTGCACGAAACCTGATCACAAGATTTTTTTCAACAGTTAATTTCTCAAAAGCTCTACATTTTTGGAAGAATGAAAAAAAATGCAATGAGTTGTTGGATGAGAGTCTTGGTTAAAAAATCATTCGTTGAAAATGAGTCACGATTTACAAATCAACCAACAACTAACAAGCCAAACAATCTACCCAACAAACCAGCCCACCCAATAAATCAGACCATATAACAAGCCAGCATACCTAACAAATCAGCCCACTGAACAAACCGATCCCCCTTCCAAACAAACCAGCCACCCACCAAACCAGCCACCCACAAAATAACCCGTCCACCTAACAAACCAGCCACCAACAAAATAACCCATCCACCCAGCAAACCAGCCCACCCACCATTAACAACGTCCAATCTCCACTCAGGAAGATCTAGCGAAATGTTTTGTAGAGATTGGAAAGCTAGCCTGTCGTGTTTTAAATTCATTCCAAAGTTATCAAATAATTGTTTTTTTTTTAACTTTTAGAACAAGCATACCTCGTCGATACTACATAAGCATGGAAAAAGTTATGTACACGTGTATATTAATTACATACGGTAAGCCTGAGTCAATGTTAATGTTATCATGATGAAAATTGTTAATGTAAACAAAATATGATGGGTAAGCAAACAACCATTACAAACATTAACAAACAACAGTTAAATACATTACCAAACAACCATTACAAACAAAATCCGATAAAAACGAACAAACAAAAAAGCAGACAACTAACTTCCCAAGTTCATCATCCATATGTACTGTTAGTCTGTCACAAAGACAATGGTTCAACTAAATATTGTATGGTATAAAATATTAAATAAATAAAAACATGACCCAAATAAAAACATGACCCGAATAAAAACATGACCCAAATAACAACCTGGCCCGAATAAAAACATGACCCGAATAAAAACATGACCTAAATAAAAGTGTATGGAACAGCACGTAACCTGGATATCATGTCGATGAGTTCGTACTGCGACATACCGTCGGGGATAATGCGAGGTAGGGCTGCCACACACGTTCGAAACAAATCTATCTTTGGCTTTCTCTCGCCACTACAATCATATTTTGTGTTTGTTTGTATGTTTTTTGTTTGTATGTTTTTTGTATGTATGTTTGTTTGTTTTTTTTGTTTTTACGTTTGTTTGTTTTATTTTATAAGGTTGTCATCGCCTTCGTCAGCACAGTTATCTGGACCAACCTTAGCAGATTATCAGTTTCCCTGTTAAGGTTTTCAGACCTGATGAGTAGCATGGACCTGCCGACTTGAGAGTCCAAAAATTTCAAAATGGAATCAAATGCTTTCCTCACGTGTGCGTAGTAGCCCTGTTCTTAAAAATACGCAAATGCGTGCAAGTGTTTTTTTATGCGGGTTCACATCCACAATGTATGTTAATGTTTAAGATGAAAATATTGAATGAAATTCGAGAGAACATTGAATGAAATTCGAGAGAAAATTGAACGAAATTGACCTGCAGGCCAATATTCTTGGCAGTCTGTTCGGTGAGGAATTTGTTGATGAAGGTCTTCTTGGACCTCAGGGTACCCCCCGATGGCAGCACCCCCATCGTCTGCGGCATCGGAGGTTCTATCTCCTTCTGCTGCAGTCCGTCTGCTATGACGAGGAACGCTCGAAGTCCTATGCACATCCGCTGGCGGGGTTTCACGTGGAAAGGGATGTGGTGTGATGTAATAATGAAACGTCGTGACGTCAAACAGTGCTAAAAATATTAATATGACGTCATTAAAGGTTGCAAAATAAGAAAAAAAAATGAAATTTTATTAAGTGGCGTAAAAATTTGCACCTCGTCATGCAGCAAACGAAAGCCACAAATAAGACCACAAACACCACAACGAACTAACTACCTCGGGGGCGTAGTAGGTTTTTGTGCTCTTGCCCACACCCAGCAGATCAAATATGATCTCCTTCATTGCAAAGTCCAGCCTCTCCTGTAGTTTCAACGATGATATAAATAACGGAGAGGTTTATGGAGGGGCACTACTTCAACAATGCAACAGGGCACACGTAACTATAAAGAACGCTTTTTGCGTTAAACTTACTTAACCTAAACTGGACGAGGAAACTATACACAGGCATTAGCATAACAAATTATTACGGTAAACATGCCACTAAGCATAAATATCAGGAACATAAAGAGACATGGAGACAATGGCCCAACCTGAGCAATAAACTGAACGATCTTGACGAAAATATTGAGTGGAGCATCTCTGGGCATGATGACCCTTGAACCTTTGGGAAACAAACTTCCGACAATGCTCTGCAGTCGGCTGTTTGTCGTCGTGTTACTCTCGCACTTGATGCGCACCATGTAGACCCTGCGAGAAATAATGACCATGTGTGCATGCATGCATGTTGGAAAAAAAGTTAAAGGTTACTCTCTCTTTTGCGCTTGTTTCAGAGGTTTCAACGACAAACGCACACGGCGTAATTGAATACGCGTGAAAAGCACGCATCATACACATTGCATATGATAGGCGAGGATCTCTTTGTATTCGAACCCAGTCACTGCAGTAGCGAGACCAGGCGCCTTTAACCATTGAGCCATCACGTCGAACAATGGAACAAGCAGCATCAGAAATTGGGACGAAACCCCACCAGAGTAATCTGTAGAGTGACTCGAGTGCGACACGGGCGGTCGTGCTGTCCCTCTCCTTCAACTTAGAGAGGCACTGAGTGAGGAACGTCGTCCAGTTCGTTAGGAAGAACTGCTTCTGACTGACGCACAGCAAACAAGTCACCAGTGGAAACAAAGCCTGGTAACGTGTGCGTGTGTGTGTATGTGTGTGTGTGTATGTGTGTGTGTATGTGTATGCGTATGTGTGTGTAAGTGTGTGGCATGTATAATGTGTACGATGTTAGGCGTGTTTGTTTACGTGCTTTGCGCAATTTGGAAGGATTAGTAGAATTGTACACTTGTTTTTTTTAAATCGACTATATGGAAGAAATATGAATTCGAGGCTACAAAGATTAGTGGGCATATAAGATACAAAAAAACACTATTCAGTGAGACATTACTAACAATGTGAATTAGAGAAATATTCATGAACATTCATCAATCCATTCATTCATTCATTTATTTATCCATCTGTCAACTAATTAATCAGCCTATCAATCAATCCATTAATCCATCCAACAATCATTAATCCATCCATACGTTAATCCATCGGCACATTCTACTATCCATAGCCTACTTAACGCCGACTTACCAATGAATGCCTCTTCTTCATGGCAAGATCCATGGTATGTACGTACAACATCTCCACGAACAACTTCAAGACTGGAACATTCACTTCATTCTTTGCCACCTGAGTGTCATAGGTGGGTGCGGTAGAATTTTCAAATGAAACATCTGAACATTCATAAAAACATGACACTACATTAACACTAACGACCAAAAAATACAACAACCACAGAAAACAACAATAATGACCACGACATCAAAATCCCAAACAACAACATAATATCAACAACAAATATAACACCAACAGCAAATTGACCCCAACAACCCAACAACAACTACAACAACAACAAACTGACCACAACAATCCAACAACAACAACATAGTATCAACAACAAATATAACACCAACAGCAAATTGACCCCAACAACCCAACAACAACTACAACAACAACAAACTGACCACAACAATCCAACAACAACAACATAGTATCAACAACAAATATAACACCAACAGCAAATTGACCACAACAACCCAACAACAATAACAACAAAAAGACCACAACAAGCCAACAACAACAAATTGACCACAATAATCCAACAACAATCCAACAACAACAACAAAGTGACCACACACAGCAGCAACAGGCAGCAGTATCTCAACGAAGAGACCAGCCAACGCATGTTTGATCTCCTTCTCCTTCTCCTTCAGCTCTATGAAGTACGTGCCACATTCGTGTAGGAATTGTATGCACGACTGGAAGTCTTCAATCGGATGCATCTACGTTTGTGTGTTTGCGTGTGTGTGTGTGTACATGTATGTGTGTGTGTACATGTGTGCGTGTGTGTCTGTGTACATGTGTGTGTGTGTGTGTGAGTCTGTGTCTTTGTGTGTGCTCCAGTTACGTCGAAATTACATCACCTCAGATCTTAATTTTTAAAGCCGTCATTCTCATTACGGTTTTGTTTTTATTTGTATAAATAAATCTAAATACGGTTTGTATTTATTTAGATTTATGAAAAAAATAATACACGTGCTGACAGTTACAAATATATTTAACGTTAAAAAATTATTATTATTATTACTTATTATTTTCAATTCAATTATCCCTCTCCATTCTATTCACTCCATCGTCTCTCTCTCTCTCTCTCTCTCTCTCTCTCTCTCTCTCTCTCTCTCTCTCTCTCTAACTCTAGCGACACCGACCTTCACCCTGAAGAACTTCATGCCCATGAGCAGACTGATGATGCCATGAATGGAGGCCTGCGTCTGCTCCTTACTTCTCAGCTCCTTCAACTCAAATGTGAACCTCTTGCGAACTGCCGGGAACCTGTACGGTGGATGGATGAATGGATGGATGAATGAATAAATGAATGAATGAATGAATGAATGAATGAATGAATGAATGAATGAATGCAGTCGACAAGATGTTTAACAAAAGTTAACGTATATATTAGGTAGAAATGAACCAATGCTGAATGTATGATAAACAAACGTTAGACCCATTGACTTTTAAGTGTATTCCATTCAATGACATACATTCATTTATCCATACACCCATCTACTCGTCCATTCATTCATTCATTCATTCATTCATTCATTCATTCATTCATTCATTCATTCATTCATTCATTCAGTCAGTCAGTCAGTCATTCATTCATTCATACATTCATTCATTCATTCATTCATTCATCCATTCATCCATCTATTCTTTCCATCTACATTTATTTAACCACCCATCCGTCCGTTCATTCAGCAATGGACCAACACCTGGACTTGGCCAGTACTCCAATGACCTCAGCAAAGAGATCGGCCACGATGTTGATGTTCTGCGCATTTCTGTTCAGCTGAGTCCTGACAAGTGCAATTACTCATCAATCAATCAATCAATCAATCGATCAATCAATCAATCAATCAATCAATCAATCAATCAATCAATCAATCAATCAATCAATCAATCAATCAATCAATCAATCAATCAATCAACCAATCAATCAATCAATCAATCAATCAAATATTAGTTAATACTGTTAAATCAAAAATAATCAGACCTTTAAAAATGGTGTCAAATTAACGATAAACTTATGATGGAATGGATGCAAAACATAAAAATAACGGATAGCCATGGAATTATGAATCTCAGGTAATGTTGCATGAAATGGCAAAACAAACAGACAAACCCTTCTCTATACTTGAAGTGTCTGAATGCCAAACTGATGATGTGGTTGATGAGTTCGTCGTGTCCCGGATGGTAGGGAAGCTGCGAGATGTGGTGGTGGTGGTGGCTACAGGTTAGATGCATTAAACATCCATTTCCATAATCACCACTTCAAAATATAAACTTGACGCAAAGACACTTTCAAAAACTATGAAAGAAAAAACAACGTAAATCCAATTGCAAATAAAAACTTATCGAACCTGTTTCAATATCTCAATGAGAACGAGGCAGTAAACGAAGTCCACAGCTAGCTGAATTATTCAATTAAATAACCATTATAATCGCGTCATTATTTTTATTTACAAATTTATTCTAATAATATATGTCTATATTTTGTTATTTATTGTTTTATGGGAGTCAAGCCTAGATAAGCATTTATTGCTAGGCTGACTCTTTCAGTTTTGGTGAATAAAATGGATTAAAAAAATATGAGATTAATATTCATCATAATTGTCCTGGGCGGCACGCGATTGAGTAGCGTAGTGTAGTGGGTAAGGTCCCTAGCACTGATATTGCGGTGGCAGGGATCGAATGCACAGAGATCCCTTATCTATTTAACGCAATGTGTGTGAAGCGTTCGTTGATTGGTGAATGAATGAATTAACGAACGAATGAATAAATGAACGAATTACCTCAATGAATGAATGAATGAATGAATGAACGAACGAACGAACGAACGAATGAATGAATGTGCGATGAAACAACTAACATCTCTTTTTTCACAAAGATATTCCTTCTCTCTGAAATAAAATAAGAAAATATTTCAAAATTACAGTTTAACGCAAACTTTATCTCGCCAAATACAATACAGTCCTTCTTAAAAAATTAATTCATTGGTCGGTTAGTCAATCGGCTCGTTGATTGTTTGGATGGTTGGATGATTGGTTGGTTGGTAGATTGGTTAGATGATTGGTTGGCTAATTGGATGAATGGTTGGATGATTGGTTGGCAGATGATTGGTTGGTTGGTTGATTGATTGGTTTGTTTGTTTGTCGGTTGGTTTGTTGGTTGGTCAATCGGCCATTTAGTAAAATATTGACGATTTTTCAAATTTTATTTATTAGTTTCCATTGAAAAAAAATTTTTCCACTTTAATTGACAGCATTATGATGGATAGCGTTCGTAATTTTTCTTTCAGTCTCATAGCATTGCTTTGCCTGGACAATTCTTTATTAAAAATTGCTATGAAAGTTTCATTGGTACCTATCGCCGTCCATTATGAAAGTTAAACAAGTTAGCGACGTAGAACGTTCATACGTTGATTAAGACGCTATTAAGAAACGTGCGAGCTTTCGCTTACGTGAATTTTAGAACTTTAACACGCACGCACGCAAACGCACGCATACAGAGCCAGCCATCAAGCTACATGTTAAAATTTTGGGCCAATATTGAAAAAACTACAAAAAGAAACAACGCAATTTTAGGAAAATTTTTTGAGACGATAAGCTTTTTTTATTCACAATCTTTCCCTTTTGGAAAACTAAAAAAGTTGGTCAACCGGTCGTTAAATTAAATATAGTGAGATATAGTTTCTAACGCAACTCTCCGAGAACCATCACCAACAATTGGAAAATTTGCAGTTTTGAGTACTAGCGAACAGTTGCTTTTGGGTTGAATAAATAATTGATTAACGTTTAACTGAACGTAGCCCACAGCTGCAAGAACATAAGGTTCATCTTTTACTTGTACTTTACTATTCAATCGGAGGTTGAAGGCTCAAACTATTTATTCATCGCACACCTTCCATTATAATCCTTAACATCATCACCATCAAGATTAGCATCACCCTCATCGCCACTGGCAACCCGAAGCAGTCACCCACTAGAACGTCCACCAACCCACCCCTTGCACTTGTTGCTCCTCCTATAGAGACAGTTCCCTGCCTCGTCCATGGGGTTCTGCCGATCGTACCAGCCAAACAGTGCATGCAGGAGAGAGGGGAGGCTGTTCTCCGCCACTATGGACAGTGTGCTGAGGAGCTGTTGTGTGTGTTTGTGATGAGTAGAGGAATGGCTGGCTGGATGGATGGATGGATTGATGGATGGATGGATTGATGGATGGATGGATTGATGGATGAATGGATTGATGAATGGATAGATTGATTGATGGATGGATGGATTGATGAATGGATGGATTGATAGATGGATGGATTGAGGGATGAATGGATGTATAAATGGAAAATTGCAAGAATAGATGGATGTATACATAGTTGATTAAATGAATGGATTGATGGATGCATGGATGGATGAATAGTTGAATGAATGAATGAATGAATGAATGAATGAATGAATGAATGAATGAATGAATGAATGAATGAATGAATGAATGAATGAATGAATGAACGAACGAAGGAATGAAAAAAAAGATGATCACCTGATCAAAGACTGCATCCTCTCCTCTCTGCAGCAACTTAGACAGAGGTTTGTCCTGATTCTGTGATGGACATATTCCAGAGAAAGTATCATTAGAAACAATAGCAAGCGTAAGGCATAACAAGTTTGCAGAAATTTCGAAGAAAAATTCTAAAACAATTCTCAAAACCGTAAAAAAGCCTCATTTAATTTGTGAAACTCGCAGAAAAAAAATTTATTAAAACCCAAAATTGCATTAAAAATGTATAAACAAAATTGAATAAGATAACAGAAAAATAAAACAACAACAACACATGAAAAATATGATAAAAACAAAATTAAAAGTTGCATCAACAATCAAAACAACAAATAGCAACAATAGCAACAAGAAATAGGAAACTCGTATAAAAAAATTCAACAGCTGACAGGAGGTTCAAGGACATTGTTGATTTTTTTCTCCGCCAGGACAGTGAACTCAGCAAACAACGTCTGCATAATAAACTCGCCTTGTGGAGCATTAAAATATTTTAATTAATTATGAATTATTATGAATTATTGTTATAACTATTACTAATTATAATTATTATTACTATTATTATTATTATTATATAATATAAACAAACAGTCTGGCCAGCCAGCAGCTGAAAAGACATACCTGGTTTAATGTGGGTGTTGATGTGGATGGTCTCGGGGAAGGGTACCCTCTCCCTGAGGACCCCCCACGGCAGACGCACCGGAAGTGTCGATTGCTCGGGCTCACCGGACATTGATTCTTTCTTTTTGGTTTCTTCTGTTTCTTGTACCAAAAACATTGAAATAGTTTTGGTATTTTATATAATCAATATATATATATATATATATATATATATATATATATATATATATATATGTTGGTAATAGACCATAATTTTTTTTTACAATATTCTATAAGTTCTACCGAATGTTTGGCGTTAATATGTTTGTAGTTCGTTTTATATATATATATATATATATATATATATATATAACTATAAAGTTTGATTGTTAATATGAATTATACATTATTAATGTTGTGTGTATCTTTTATAACATTAAAATGAGTAAAAAAATACTTTTTGCCTTC